AGCTGTACAGGGACAAAGCTCGACAATGGGAGCGTTCGAACCGCCGGGAGTACCAATACGGGGTGGCCAGCCGCAGCCGCGAGCGGGCGGTCTAGGATCAGAGCTTGGGGGTCGAGCGACAACTGAATGCAGGAGGCGGGGCCAAATCAGCACTCATCGCCTGACCAAGGCCTACGAAAAGGTCTGCCATTCTGCTCTTGCAGTCGCCGCCGTCAAACTCCAGTTTAGCCAATTAAGTTGTGCATCCTGCTCTCTTCTCTGTACCGCGGCAACCATATCATCAATGTGTACGGAGTTGTCGCAATCCAGTTGCAGTATCCCAGGGCATCCTGTCAGGTTGCGGCTTTGCGACCATCCTCTTGAGTTTGCTCTTGTTGGATCCTCTGGACCAGACCCTCGAGCTCTTCCGCAGTGTGAGCTTGTACATGTGGTTGGTGGCATCACAGTTGCTAGAGCAGTTGCACCTTGTCATCTCTCAGTCAAAGGGCTTGATCTTAATCAGCCACTCGGCGACAAGGCTGTGATTGTTCGCAAGCTTCAGCGTTGGAACGTTGCAGGGTCTCATTATGGTCAGAACCTGGGGCGCGTTCAAGCTATGTAGCGGGAATGTAAGAGTAGCTAAGTCATGGGCAAGAGACCTCATGAGCTTCGTGTTCGTGGAAGTCGACTGCGGGCCTTCGGACTTCTGGGAAAAGCATGTTTCGTGTCGCTCGCGCTGGAGGCCTTCCATCGGCCACGTACGGGTGCAGGGTCCAGGGGATGTCGACGACTCGCCTCGGACAACTTCGCGGCACACTGGGTCAAGCACTGTTTGGGGCCCCCTCAAGGGCAGAGGCAGGACGCTGGAGTTTATGCGTTCTGTGGACTCCAAAGCCGACCCTGCGTATTAAATACAGAATATACCATTGATCACTCGGGGCCAGGCACCCAAGCTTAGGGATGCCCGTACCATCCAGCAGTGTTTTTGAAGTTTTCACGGTCGACCTGATCGAAGTTGGCAGGATGTTCCAGCGCCTGCTGGCGCTGTCGTTTTCACTGTTGAGCGTCTAGGCTGGAGAGTGCTGGCCTGGAACAAGTGCATGACTAGGAAGGGGACCGAGGTTGACGTGTCTTTCCTGGGGCATCGATCTCTCAAGACGGTTCTCCATGAGGCCGTTCGGGACATGCTCGTAATGGGTCCGAGAGACGGTCAGAGGGTCCTTGGGCTCCTTGCCGGACCTCTTCTGGAGCCCGTGGAAGTGCTGAATACCCTCAGGGCGGAGGAACAGTGTTCGGCAACCTCTGGTTTGGCTGGCGTGCGCTGCTGGAAGCTATCCGACCCAAATCACCCTGCATGATAGCAGAGATGTGGTCGATTCCCTGTGCAAAATGTGCAAGGCTGCGTTCGGCACACCTAGGCCTCGCTTTCTGTGCTATCAAGTGCATGCTCCTCTTCGGCGCGACCTGAATGTGCCAGAGATTCTGGACCCGGATGATACACTGGTTTCAAACTTGCTTGCCACCCGTGCGCTTGCATGTAGTCCCGAGTGGCAATGGCCTGCACCATACACTGCAGCTGGACATAAGTGGTAGGTTATTCCTCCTGGAGGCTTCCTCGGGCCCAGAGTTTGCTTGGATGGGTCGGGACTTGACCCCTTGTTACCTCAGTTCACTCGGGCGGGGCGGACTGTGGTGAGCGTCCATGAAGACAATTTCGGAGGATGGGACAGGGGTCCCCGTACTGGCAATTGCCACATGCAGTTCAGGTTGCAGGCTGCGGGGAAGTTCACGCCCAAATCCATGGAGGTAGTGACCAACGGTAAGGTGGCGGAGGATACATGGGGGCAGGGACAGTTCCAGAGTCTAGAACAGGTAGCGTTCTCGAAGCTCTGGGTGGAGATATTCAGGCTGGCCTCGGAAATTGATTATGAGCGCATCACCCTGTCCGGGATCCCGTCCCACTTGACCCTCTCCAATGCCCGTAGGATAGGCATTGACGAGTGGAAGTGGCGAGGCGAAGGCTGATGAGCTGGCTAAGCCTGGACCAGATCCAACCCACAACCCTAAGTCTAGGAAAGAATATGATGAATTCGTCCCTCTCAACAAGCACTATGCGTGGCTTGCTGCTGAAATCATGGAAGACCTTGGGGCTCGGTCGTTCCCCGATGTGGCTCGGACCCGACGGCCCAAACGGGACGAGCCGTGTCCCCTGGAACTCGTTCCCAACCCAAAGGGCCCTGCAGTCGAGAAGGCAGGTAAGTCTGTGCCGTTGTGCTTGAACTTCGGTGAACGAAGGAAATCTCGTGCTGCTGTCTGCGTTTGACCCTGCGGTGGCCCGCCCAGGACTGCCGGGACCAGCCATGCCTCACACAGGGTTTGCCTGAGGGATGGGCGGTCGAGCCGGATGATGTTCGCACTGCGGTGCCTTCGGAAGCTCCGCGGCGGGAGGCGGGGAGGTCGATGGGAGGCTCTGGCTGCCGTGGCACTCGTTTCACCACTCGTTTCGCCGACAAAGGGCACCAGCCTTGCCGTCTCTCACCACGCTCGCGCGAAGCCAGCGTCTCCAGTTCCGACTGGGTCATCCACGTCAGCGCCTCCGACGACGATGACGACAACGAGGAAGGAGGCTGAAACAGGCTGACATAGAAAATGGAGCGAATCTCCGTCGCACCCTGCAAACTTAAAAAATCATATTAAAGCGAGTGCAGCAGTGGAGGAGAAGGACGACGATGGCGGGGACGAGGGGCAGGAGAAGGGAAGGGTAGGAGGAGGGGGCAGGTGGAGGAGCAGCAGCTGCAGGAGCAGGGGCCAAGGGGATGGGGGGAGCAGGAGGAGGAGATCGAGGGGGATGTAGGGAGGATGAGGCGTTTTGGACCCCCCCAGAATGGCGACCCAATGCCGACATGGTACGGCTGCTGATACAAAGTGGTCGAGGAAGACCTCGAGCAAACCAAAACAGTTCTGGATATTGTGGCCTGGCGGCCACCGTGCCGATGAGAACGCCGAAGAGACGGAGGGATGATGAAGATCAGAATAAGACCATTAAGGGTCTGCTGGTCAACTCTAGCCGAATTTGCCGACCCTTGGGTGGGACACGGATGCAAGCCTTGAACTGCGCGGCTCACAGTGGGCTGCATGGGGCGAGCCCTCCCCAAGCTTGCTGGGGGGTTGGACAGCCCCGCTTGGCGGGAGACCCCGCGTTGGAGACGAGAAACCTGCATACGGCCTGCGGGAGCGGCTACCACGTCCTTCCGCCGGGGACCTTCTTCCACACTCCAGAGGGGGGATGCTGATGATGATGATGATGAGGAGGAGGAGGAAGAGGAGGAGGAGGATGAGAAGGAGGAGGGAGGAGGAGGGAAGAGAGAGCAGGAGAGGGCGATCTTGCAATATGTGTCCAGGTCTGCGGGACCCAGTCACCCATTACTGGTCGGAGCACCAGCCTGGGGGCCCATGGCCCCGTTACCCGTTACCCCGTTCCATGTGTATGCATCTACACACCGCAGAATGTATATACACATACATATATATATGTACAGAGAGAGAAAAATTGTGTGCAAATGAAGAATGTGAACCAACCGTCTGGAATTCCTCGGGGCTTTCTGGGAGGTCTCTTGTGGGCGCTTCCTTGGGCCGTCCCAGTGAGCTCTGGGGCGGTTTTGGGCGTCTGAAATATTGCGGCCGTCAGTGTCCGATGTTGGAGGCCTCTTTGGCCGATTTTGGACGCGCTGGACACGGAAAAGGCGGCAATGCGAAAATAGCGGATAACCTGTTGGAATTAACAGAAGATTTGTCCCTCATGAGGTCCATCGGGGACTCTTGGATCGTGCTGGGAGACTCTGGGACAATCTTAGAACGTTGGCCGACCCATCAAAATACTTTGGCAACGCACGCCAGACCCCAGAAGCGGGCGGGCATTCCTTGGGTCGTACAGATACATACGTCCACACATGCCTACCTGCATGCATCCATGCATACATACATACCTGCATGCATGCATGCAGACATGCATATATACATACATGTATGCATACACACATACGTACATGCATACACGCATGCGTATATGCATGATTGGATACAGACATACATGCACACAGACAAAATATCGTACATACATGCATGTATATACATGTATACATGCATACACGCGTTAAACAAATTTGTGTATAGACGTGCAGACATATATTCATACAAAAATACAAGCATACCCGTATATGGGCATGCATACCTGCACACCTATACATGTATAAACATACATACATGCATGCATGCATACATAGATGCATACACAAGTAGATGTGTAGCTACATGCATGCATGCATACATTCATACATGCGTACACAGACATACGCACGTACATGCATGCATACAGACATGCGTACACACATACGTTCATGCGCGCATGCAAACAGACGTACCTTACACATACACGCATACATGACTACATGCAATCATACTTACACAGACAAAAACACAGTGATGCATGCAGGCATGCCTACATCCATTAATACAGACATACAATGCTACATACCATAATGCATACACACACGCACAAACAAGCATACATATGTACATACATTCATACATACACACATACATACACCTATACACGCATACATACACACACACCTACATATCTACACACATGCAGTTATGCATACAGGCATACACCTATACGTACCCACATACAGACACTCATGCATACTGACGTACAAGCATACACACATACCTATATACATATATATATATATATATATACAAGGAACATGCATACATGTATGCGTATATGAACTGCATGTCTACCCATGGGGATATAGGAACAATAAGACAGTAAGAGAGACAGAGAGAGGGATATAGAGAGAGACACACACAAGCGAGAGAGAGAGAGATATAAACACTCAAAAGTAGAGAGCGAGAGAGAGAGAGAGAAGGAGAGAGTGGAAACACAAATTGCATGAAATATCAAACCACAAAACGAGAGGGAGAGAGGAGGGGGGAAAGAAAGGCGGGAGAGCCGCGTGCCTGTCGTGCTCCGGATCCACGTTCGGGGTGCTGACGACCTGTCCGGGCGTCCGCTTCCGGCCGCGCGCCGCCGCCAGGGTGGCCCGGCCGCCGCAGAGCACGGTAAGGGCGCTGGCGTCGACGACAACAGCGACGCGTCGTTGGACGTTTTTGGCCGAAATGGGCTGGCCTAGAGTCAGGGTGAGGGGGCCGAACGGTCATTCCCTGGCCCTCGGGTGCATGGCTGAAGTGGGATTCCGTTCCATGGTCTGGATTATTGTTGCTTGTTGCTCGTAGTTTGTCGTTTGTTGTTTGCTGTTTGTTGTTGTTTGTTGCTGATGTTTGCTGTTGATGCCGTCGTCCTCGCACGCGACCCCCCCGCGACCCACCCCGCGGCCCACTCGCCACCCACGGTGACCCACCTCGCGACCCCCCCGCGACCCACCCCGCGCCCGCCCCCTCACTCTTGTCCGCAACTGATGTCTCGGAGTTCCGCGCGGATCTCGTGGATCGGCGTTGGACCCCACTCCCTGGCCTTCGGAGCGCGCCAGGGGCGGCGACGGAAGAGCCGCCAGGGAGGCCCAGCGCCGATCCAGCAAATTCGGGCGGAACTCCGACGAAGTATGGTTATGCCAATCTTTGTCCTTCGGCAGAGGCATCTTGCTGCCTGATCAATGACCTCCTGGGGCCGTTCGTTGTCCCTCCCGCGCCCATCCCGTGGGTCTCGCGCGCGTGCTGGCCCGCGCCCAGTGCACTTCGCACTGCCAGCGCTGCTGCCATGAAGCCCACTTCAAGGAAGCTGAACCTGGGACATCGCACTTTCTCTTCACATCGAAATCGCTTGAGGGTTCGCTCGCTTCGTTAGTAATTATCGACAAGGACGCAGGGGAAGCGGGGCACACGAACCCCTCCTGTGCGTGAAAGGGATCAAGATGGGGAGGAGGAACGGAGGACCACTCGGGGACACCACACATTGCATTGCCAGCGTTGTTCGCAGGAAGTTCACTCCGAGCGTGCCAGCTCGCTGGCAGTGCTCTTCGCATTGCCAGCGCTGCTGCCTCGCAGCTCACTCCGCGAGTGCTGGCTCGCAGCCAGCGCACATTGCGTCGCCAGCGTTGTCTGTAGCAAGCTCACAGTGAGCGCGCCGTCTCGATTGCGCCGCACTTGGCGCTGCAAGCGCTGCTGCCAGGGAGCTCAATCCGAGCGAGTCAGCTCGGTCCCGCCGCACATCGCGCTGGCAGCGTTGCCACAGGAAACGGAAACTCACTCAGAGCAGGGAGTGTCCAACCATGAGTGTCGCTGTCAACGCACCATCTCATCAAGTCACATTTAAGCTCATTATGGGGCCAGCGGGCAGATGAGGATGCTCTGGACATGCTTGCACATCCAGGGGTCTCAAGACATGTATTACGGCTGCGGTGACAACAGCGACAACGGCGACAAAGGCGACGACGACGGAGGCTTTGCTCTGCATCGTTGATGCGCGGTCGGGTCAGTATTTGCTATAGTCATCCTCATCGTCATCCTCTTCCGTCACTCTTACCTCTCGCTGCTCATCCTGAAGTGTGTCTCTCTTCCTGCTGCTCCTCCTCATTCACCTGTTCCTTATCCTCCATCTCCTCATCATCGTCCTCATCCTCGTCATTAGCATCATCACCACCACCACAACCACCACCATCCCCATCAGCATCAACAGCATCGTCATCAGCATCATCACAATCATCGTCATCGCAACAGCATCAGCAGCAACACCACCATCACAATCATCAGCATCAGCATAACCATCATCAGCATCATCATCATAATCAGCATCATCATCATCAGCATCATCACCGTCGTCATAAGCAGCATCAGCGTTATCATCAGCAGCATCATCAGCATCGTCATCATCGTCGTCATATCAGCAGCATCCTCATCACCATCATCAGCATCGGCATCAACAACAGTATCATTAATTATCACATCAATACCAACCGCATCTACACTGAAGAGCTAAGAATATCGGTAATCAAAATGATACCGGAGAAAAGCCCCAATCATAATATGTTCAGGGCTATAGGGCTATAGGGCTATAGGGCTATAGAGCTATAGGGCTGTAGGGCTATAGGGCACAGGGCTATAAGGCTCTGGGGCTATAGGGCTATAGGGCTATAAGGCTCTGGGGCTATAGGGCTATAGGGCTACAGGCCTATAGGGCTATAGGGTTATAGGGCCACAGGGATTTAGGGCTATAAGGCTATAAGGCTATAAGGCTATAAGGCTATAAAGCTATAAGGCTACAGGGATATAGGGCTATGGGTCTATAGGGCTACGGGGCTATAAGGCTATAAGGCTATAAGGCTAAAAGGGCTGTAGGGCTATAGGGCTACAGGGCTGCCGGGCACCTGGGCACCCGGGCACGTGGGCACCCGGGCACCTGGGCACAGGGGCGTGCCGCCGAAATCGGCGCCAAACCTCACCTAACCATATGAATCCGCTAGGACCCCTACAGAGGCAAGCTCTGATTGGGGAATAGTAGTGATAAGAATCAGCAGCATCAGCATCATCAGCATCATCACCATCATCATCAGCATCATCATTGTCAGCATCATAACTGTCATCAGTCTCAACATCATAATCACCATGAGCATCATCACCATCGTCATCACGAGAACGCCGTCGGCAGCCAGGATCGGCCGTCGTCCAAGTCGCACTCCATTCCGAAGTGCCAGTCTCAGCGCTAGGGAAGGCCAGCGTGCCGCAAAACTCCTCGAGCCAAAACTATGGTGAGGATAGTGATGAGGAGGGTGCTCGTGAACCGCAGGTATTGGGTGGGAGATGGTGATTATCATAATGATGATGGTGATGCGGATACTGCTGATCATGATGATGCCCTGATGACAACGATCATTGTGATTATGAGAGTGATGATGCGGCGCGTGCGCGGGCAGTACGGGCCGCCGACGCCGGCGTGGCGAGATGGGAGAGCAAGTGCGTGGCCGAGTCCCGGCGCTGCGACGCGCTGACGGCCGCGTTGGGCGCGGAGCGGCGGGCGCAGGCAACGGCCGCTACCCTGGGCTGTCGCGCGGTGGCCGAGGCGCTGCAGACGGCCCGCCTCGAGCAGCCAGGGCTCCCGATGGTGCCGAGCTTCCCAGGCTGGACAGGCTCGAAGCGACCGGCCCTTCGCGCCCTCCGCCCCCCGCGGCCACGCAGCTCGAGGCCGCCCAGGCGCCGTGCGTGGCCAGGCGGATCGAGAGTGGGGGATGGTTAAAGAGCCTCCTCCTCTTCATTTCCCTACAGATTCTCACTGTCCTCATCGTCAACTGCCTCCTGAACCCCTCCTCTCTTCTTCTCGTCGTCCTCTGCCTGGTCCTCGTCATCCTCCTCCTCATCCACCTCCTCCTCCTCCTCGTCCTCCTCCTCAGCATCATCACCATCATCAGCAGCATCATGGTCATCATCATCATCATCATCATCATCATCATCATCATCATCATCATCAGCAGCAGCAGCAGCAGCAGCATCATAACCAGCATCAGCATCATTCGCATCATCATCATCATCATCATCATCATCGTCATCATCAGCATCATCAGCATCATCATCATCATCATCATCATCATCATCATCATCATCATCATCATCATCCCCTTACTCCGCCTACGATTCCTCAGTGTTACTTCACTTCTCCCCTGGATGGGGTCGGGAATTGCAGGGGGCCGCGAGAGTGACGCAGGTACACGGGTGGCGTCACCCCAGGGAAGCGAAAGGTGCTAGAGGCCCCTCGGCATCATGCCCCGACAAACGATGGGGCCCAACCACCGTCGCCGCCGTTGGTTTCCGACGACCTGTTTTTATCGTGGGTTTTCTCCTCGAATTGAGCCTTCGGGGCCCGGTATTGGGCCTCGGGAACATCAAAATGGACGCAGGAGAATGGATCCGGTTGGTGGAAAAACTACCATCTGGGAAAAGGTCTGGACCTCCTGGGCTGCGGATTGACAAGAGCAAGAAATCGTTTGTGCATGGGCGAGAAGAGTCGTTCAGGGCCATCCGCCTCCTCCTCCTCCTCCATCCCTTTTCTTTCGTTTCTTTCTACATGACTCCCCTTTGTCGCACACCGAGACGTGTCGGTAGTGCGGGCTGGGCGTTTCGCCTGAGACTTCCTCATCGATCCCAAGGGTTCCTGGAAGGTCCAGACCCCAATCGCCAGAGTGCTCCGAGTCGGATTAGCGGAGCGCCGCTCCGCAAATTGACCTCAAAGCATGCGCACCGACATTGCTTGCTTCGCTCCCCTAATAGGAGCGTCGCTCCGCTAATTGGGTTCCAACCAGCTGTTCCACTCCAGTTAGCGGAGTGCCGCTCGGCTATTTGGCTTCGACTGGGAGGATTACGATTGCCTCGCTCGAATTGGCGGAGCGCCGCTCAATTAATCGGCCTCGAACCAAAGGATTACGATGGCTTCGCTCCCGGGCTCCGCTCCGCTAACTTGCCCCCAACCAGGGGGATGCGATTTCCTCGTTCCCAGTAGCGGGGCGCCGCTCTGCCAATTGGCCCCAAACCGCGGGATTGGCAGATTGATCCGCTCCCATCAGCGGAGCGGCGCTCCGCGAATTGGCCTCGAACCGGGCGATTCGGATGGCTTTGCTCCCATTAGCGGAGCAGCTACTTCACCTCGAACCAAGGGATTACGATGGTTTCGCTCTCATTTGCGTCACGCCGCTCCGCTAGTTGCCCTCACGCCTGGGGGCACACATTGCTTCGCTCCCATTGGCGGAGCGCCGCTCCGCCAATTGGCCACAAACCGCGGGATTGGCAGATCATTTAGCTCCCATGAGCGGAGCGCCGCTCCGCTAACTGGCCTAACGCAGAGGACCACGAATATTTCGCTCCCATTAGCGGAGCGCTGCTCCGTTAAACGGCCTCAAACGAAGGGATCGCGATGGCTTCGCTCCAACTAGCGGAGCACAGCTCCGAAAACAAGGCTCGATGACAAGGGGGCGCAAGCGCCGTGCTCCCATTTGCGGGGCGCCGCCCCACTAATCGGCACAAAACCAAAGCGTTGCATCTGCGCCCCCCCCAG